TACAGAATCATGAGACATAAGCCCTTGTTCCCAGCCATAAATTTTGGGGTGGTTTTTATACAGAAATAGATAACTGAAAAAAATTAACAACCCTTTGAGACAAGGCTTACAAAATATGAGATCTATTTTAAAATCTCTCACCTACTTTGTTTTATAATCTTGGATACTTTATTTTTTGAAATTTATTTTTTTTAGTTCAAGTATAAGTAATGGTGTTATATTAGTTTTAGGTGTACAATATAACTGTTCAGCAATTCTATACTTGTGCTCATCAGGGTAAGTGTCCTCTTAATTTGAATAATTTCTTTTTTATCTTTCGTATTTTCTAGATACAGAAGCATACGTATAAATGGTTTGTTACCTCCAAAATTCATTCCTTTTTTCTTTGCATTGTTTGTATAAATGTCAAGTATTTCACTACAGAATGAAAGGACAGAGTCTCAACAGATGACACTGTTTAGTTTCTGGACTGAAGGTATCTGCTTATAAAACCATTTCCCACTAAGTATTTTATAACTACTGGGAATAAAGTAGTTCTTCATTAGTTTTTAATGGTATCTATCAAATCTCAATTTTTATCAAGAAATAGGTCCTAATTCTACTAGGTATATACACCCTTCTTGGGAAATCGGTACAATAACATTTACTTATTTCATTTACTATAACTTTTTGTAATAGAAGTTTTTCTTTTGTTATACTGGCTAAACTCTTGCCAATAACAATGGATAATCTTTCCAATCTCCTACTGAATTTCATCTAAGGTTGACATTGCTATTAGTGACTGAGGTTGTCTTAGGATTTTTCTCTTCTTGTGTGTTAGCAGGAAAGAATTCTCTCATGCTGTTTCTGGCTGCTCCTGAATTTCAAGAAAAATTTATATGGGGACACCACTATTTTTTTAAGCTTTGAAAACAATGAACTCTAAACATATTAGTTTCAGGTAACATTTTCGATGCCCTCCATCTTTGGGCCATTGACAGTTTTTTATGCTCCCTCCTTTGTTTTCTTGCAAGAAATACCCAATTATTTTTATCTTCCTATATAGCTACCTGACATTCCTTAATAATTTTTTTTAATTTCTCTTATGTATTGGTGAATGCTCATTTCTTTTCTCATTCTACTCTTGTTCATTTGTATTTTCCATTTTTTGACCAGTTATGTTGCTTTAAACATAGGAAAAAATTAATCATTGATTTTATTTGTAAATTGCACTGAAGATTCATTTGCCAGTTCACAAAAAAATCTATTTGATTTCTTTCTTTTTTGTTTGCTTTTGCAGCTTTTGTAGAATCTTTTTGAAGTATAGTTAACTTGGTTAATTTTCATGGGGTATTTTTTCCTCATTTAAATATGTTTCTGAAAACAGTACATTTTTGTTTAAGGATTATTCTCTGGCTGCAATCCAAAGATTTTAATAGGTAGCATCTTTTTATTATCACTTACTAAAAAGAAAAATATGCCCTCGTATTCCCAAATGCTGCTTAGAATAATGATTATGAATTACATTAAGAGTCTTCCAAATGGGGATAATTTTTTGTTTGTGTTTTTCTTCTATTTTTCTTAGTTAATTCTATTTCCATTGCCTTGTGGCCAGAAGCGAGTGGAAATGCTTGTTTTTGGAGAAGCTTCACTCATGGTAACAGAGTATCCGTTATGTACCAACAGAGTTTGGATATATTTAAGCAGCCCTGATTGGGGCAGATTAGATTGGTACTCCTGCTCTATTCTAGAATGGCATAGTAAAAAATCTAAATTCTTACACTCATGTATCCAGTGTCAATTTTAGCTCTTAAACAAAGGTAACTGCATCATATGCAAAGTGTGGAACATAAACAGATCAACGGGGGAGAGGCATACCTGCTTGGATGAATCTCACTGGTGGATACGACAAGGGTCATGGTGTTAATAGGCAGATACATTCTATTTTTTGAAGTGTGTTGACTACTTATGTTGATGTATGGGCACAGCATTATTCCAAGATCGCTCTGAGCTCAGAAAGGCATTTTGAACTGCCTTTATTAGTGTGTAACAATTATGCAGACACTTTTTTTTTTTTTGGACTATCTTTATCATGTTTAGTCTAGCTCAGAAATGGCTCTGGGAACTGGTACGAAAAGATCAAGTCACAGGCAGGGCAACTGGGTTATCTCGGTGAAGACATTTCTCTCCACAAAGTGCTGAGGTGACTGATGATGCCCATTTGCCACCACACCAGCGGATGTCAGGGTGGAACTGACACCAACACAAGAGAAGCTGATTAGCAAAAGTCTAGAGTTGCAAATTCCCACTGTTATTTTCTCAAGGTGAATGCCGCCTTATAGGGTAGCACTGAAAATTAACTGGAATTTTGAAATACAAACTATAAACATTTGGAAACTTCAGGAAGGTCAGACAGCCAAAGTCCTCTCCCTCGGCAGAGAGAATTCCACATTCTCTCTGCACTGGCACCTGAGCACCAGTTATCTGGTGTTTCCACACCATGCTTTTGGTGCCATGCTCTATGGGTGCCAACCTCCCACTAGACTCTAACTTCAGCTTAAAACTACTTTCTGAAGAACAGGACTGCAGAAGTGGAGGCTTACGACTGTCAAACCCGATGTGTTCTTTGGTAAAGGTCTTCATTTTATGGACAAGAAGCCTGAACGAAGTCTAAAGCAGTCATGGACCTCTGAGGATTACCGTCGAACATCCACTTTTGGCCCAATGTGTGGCCATTATGGTAGTTAACGGACTTGTCCGAGGCCCACAGCCCAGCAGCTGACCATGACTATGACCAGAGTCTTGAGGTTGATACCTTAATCTTGGCTATATGCGCCATTTTCCTTCTTCCACTTCCTGCTCTTACTTAGCCTGTCTCCGGACAAGATTGTTTCACAGGAGTAATTTTATTCTGAAGAGGTAAAAGGGAACTAAGCATAGATAAAAATGGGGGGGTAGTGTGTGGATCCAGAGATAAACCCATAAATATTGTTTTAAATCTGAAAAATGAGCATAAAATGCAAAGGACCTTCAGAGGTCAAAAACTATGCCCTGAGTTGGTATAGTTCAGGTGTCCTGTGCATTTGATACCTACGTACTCCTTGGGACTAGCTCTTCTCATTTAGTTATCTCACTGTGTGCTTGATAAATAAAGGTAAGATGAATAAAACAAGCAGCCTCCCCTTGAGACATTCATCACCTAATAAGACGACACAGACAAGTGAATAAAGCAAAATTCAGTGTGGTAAGTACCATGCAAATATTTATGCTGTGGAGAACACTGCAGAGAACAGAATAGATGTTCTTATATTCTCCTGGGGGCAGTAAGACAACACAGTGTGTTCAGAACATGCCAGAGAAAATGCTATTACCTGCTGCCTGGGTTGCTCTAGACAGAGTTAAAGACCATGTTCCTGCCCTTTGGGGCAAGGTTGCATCTAGGTCAGTTTGGAAGTACAGAAGTAACTGGGCCATGGGCCTGGGGTTCTATAACCAACTTTGGGTAATGTCAAGGGAATGAAGACTGCATCACAGAGCAGATGGAGCATTCTGAGGCTTCCATGTGGAGTACTTTGCAAGGTGGTGAACCAAAGACCCTCACTCCTATTAAGGGAGCAGTAAGAGCCTGTTCATTTTGCAGAAGTTTCCTAACAGAATTTTGCTTTACTTATCTACTGGAGCTAAATGTCCCTGGTGTCTGAATTAACTTGCTAGTAGCCTTCACCTCCCCCCCCCCCCCCCCCACAAAGCTTACCTACCTAAAGACAAAGATCCCAGTAACTTACAGCAAATCTACTGGCGGGCTGCCCTGGCAGGGCAAGCTTGCTAAGATTGAGGGGTAAGTAAAGCAGCCTGACTTGGAAGCCCACCTGCCACTCCTGGAAAAGGAACCTGCCTTTGTTTCCTAGATGAAGCTTGGACAGCATGGGTGATGGGGGGCAAGCTGCCAGAGCCTAAGAAGGTAAGTCGACGGGGAGGATGAGAGAAGAGATGGGTTGCTCAGGCAGCTGCAGCCCCTCCCGTGGGGACGGCCTTGAACACTGAACTCCACCGGGACGCTGCGGCCCAGGTGCATGGGGATTCTCCAACAGGCCTACTGAAATGGCCCTGTGTCCCTTGTCAGTTTTACCAGTCACGCCAGGAGCAGCTGTAATCTTAGAAGAACAGCATCGGCAAATGGCAAAGATCATAATCCCGGGTCATTTGTTCTCTTCTTACCCACAGGTAAGGTCCTGAGGATGTGGGTGAAGCATCTTCCTTGTTTGGGTCTACCTTGACCTGTGAGTTGGAAAAAAGGTATTTCCTACAGAGCAGCTTCAACCTTCTAAAATTCACATCAGTGTGGCAGCTGGAGGGGTCCTGAGAGGAGTGTGCCCAGCTACTCTCAGGGACCACACTGTTGGAGGTGGAAGCTGAGGCCCAGACAGGGAGGGCCAGGGGCTTGGGTTGGGCAGATCATGTTGCACCTGCGTTTATGCCAAGCCACCAGACACCTCGTGTGTGCCCATCTTGCCAAGCTAGGCAGTGTCAGCCTCTGAAGGCCTTTCCTCTCAGCTTCCCTCATCACACTCAGAAGAAAGAGATGATCTATGCCCTACATACACAACCTCCACATTTCAGGTAAGAAAACAGGTCAGAGAGGAAGAGTGACTTGTCCCAGGTCATAGCTGGGGCCTCATCTGGAATTCAGGTTTGGGGTCCTCTGCCTAGTGCTCATTTCACGAAACGGCATGGTGTCTCCAAGGACATATCCTTAGTCACAGCTCAGGCCTTCTCCTGCTTGTTTTCATCCATGAAGATGTGCCAAGTATCCGAAACATTAACACAGACAATCCCAAATAGAGCCATGTTCCCTACGTGGCCGCCCCAGGCCCTGGAGGCTGCGAGTCTTTACCTTCAAATGCCCGTGCCGCGTCCACAAGGTGGGACCAATCTAAGCCCGTGGCCGTGTCCGGGAGGGGCATCAGGCCAGGATCTGCACACTTGGACTTATCCGATAAGGACCCATCGGAGAACCAGAACTCATCTGAACAGAAACAAAACAGGAGTGTCAGTTGGATGGTAGTGCAGGGCACAGGCAGCCCCTCCGAGGGGCCAGGGACTTCTTCCAGCAGACCCTCTGCCCCCAGTGAGAAAGGGGATAGCATGGTGCAGTTATCCAAAAGACACATGGCTGGAAAGACAGAGGTCTGTAGAGAAGCACGACCTACTGACTCCTTTAGAGGTTGGCCACACTGAGATGGAAGAGATTCCAGAACGGACTAGCTGGATGGTACAGTATTGAAATCTGACAGTTTCCTTCCAGGGCAGGCTTCTCGTGGGGACATCCATCCGAGTTGGACTAGCTGCAGGATCGATTCCTGTTTTCTGTAGGCATTACTTCCCCCTTTCAAGTGCTGCAAACTTCTACTGAACACAAGATTTGGTACAGTCTCTCTCTAGCCTGATGGTTTAAAAAGCTTCCTGAGCACCACACGTTCAAGATGCCCGTTATCAGTTTATTATAAAAATGCAGAAGGGCTAACTTTGCCTTCATTAACAGGCAAGAGAAGACACAGTCTTTTCTCATGCTATGCCCAAATACGGTGGTTGGACTGCTGTGCCGCCTCACTGAGCCAGCTTGATCACCAACTAAACCAGAAACACCTCGTCGTCCACCATGGAATTTTGTCTGTCCTTTGTCTGTATGAACTGACCTTTTAGGTTTTTTTTTTCACCTGTCATCACGGGACTTGAAGTGTTTATGCCATTGATAAAACTCGTTAGAACTCACTACACATCTGAGGACAAATTTTTCAAAGGCTTCAACTGGACTTTCTCTGACATATCTTTTTCTGAACCTGCCCAAAACGTCACAAGCAGCTGCTTGTGAACACATCTGCCTAATGAGACCAATCAAAATAATGACCACCTGGCTGGCTGAGCCTGCAATTAAGTTAAGTAAGGGGCATAATTAACCCAAGGCACCTGCAATTTTTGTTCCCACACCCTTTGGGGTAGCTGTGAAATGCTGGCATCTGGAGGGAGAGCAAGCAGTGGTGTTTGACCTTGACTCTGAAGGGCACTAACGGTCTTCCACCTGCTTGGTACCTTCACGGGCAGCTCTCAGCCTTCCTCTACACGGTGCTGCTAAACCCACCCAATCGTGCTATTTTCAGCACTACCACATTTAGCCATGGTAATACAAAACCAACTTAGTCCTGGCCCCCACTGTGAAGGGAATCCAGTTACGGATGCTCTGTCTGCACCGTTCCTGCCATGCTCCCTTGCCACAGGCTCATCTTCTTTGAAACAAGAACCATTTGTACGTGGTCTACATGTTCAGTCCTCGTCCAGGCCACGGGGGAAACAAGGAACTACAAAAGGAGCAAAGCTGGAGTGCCAGCCAGGAGTGCCATGCTCTCCTGACCCAGGGAGGAAGGAGCTGAGCAGAGTTGGGCTGAAGCCCCTCCCAAGCCTCAGGGCTTCAATCAGAAGTTTAGGGTTCAACCTCCAGGCAGAAAGGTCAGGAAGCCCAGGGATCTGCTATCACTTCTCTTGTCTTTCAAACACACTGGCTGCTTTGCTTAAAGCAGGTTTTCCACTCAGCATACAGGGATTATTTGACTGGGTGGCAGGTGTATTTGTTACTGATTTCCGTGTGACCCAATAAGGTGAAGAGAGTGGCAGTCCCGTAGAGGGTGCATCAGGCAGGCTATAACCTATGTGCCCCGGGGCACTCACCTGCTTCCTCTGCCTCTCCTTCCCTCCCTGGAGAAGAACACAGCTGGGACTGGAGAATTATTCAGCTAAATGAACATTTCTATAGAAAGTATACTCTGACAGTCATGCTTTACTAAGAAATGCAAACTTGAGGATTTTCTTTGCCTTTTTAGACAATCCTTCACCTGAGCTTCTGGCATCATAAAGCCTAAAATCAAGCCAAAGGCATGCTTGCCTGTGCAGTCTACCTTGTTCCTGGCCCCCACAAGACAACACCATCCTTCCCGGCTCTCACAGGAGCCAGGTGAAAAGAGGGGCAGAATGCAAACTGAAAGGGGCACTAGGCTAACATCCCTGTCCCCAATCCGCATGCGCCTCCAGCAGTTGTGTGCTCCAAGAGCCACCCTCCCCACACCAAGGGAGTACTGGCAGTCCTGGGATGCTCCGATGATTCTTGAGCTGCTGGAGATTCCATGATATGTGGCCATCTGTAATTGAGACAAGGCACAGACTTGAATCCCGGTGGCCAGGAAGCCAGAGCCCAGAGTGAGTGAGTGAGTGTGCCCACCTATTCACCCAGAAGGGCAGGTCAACCAGCACCACAGCTTTGCTCGCTGCTGCCCTGCACCAAGCCAAGCAGAGGCCGCTTGCAAAGCATGTGATGACTCGGGAGACCTGGGAAGGTTTTGGGGAGTAAGTTTCGCAAGCAGAGGCATGCCCAGGGCACGCTAACTTCCTCCAGCTTGTGTGGAGAGGCAGGGAGTGAAAGGAGGGAAATACAGTTTGTGGTCTTTCTTCTTATCACAAACGACTACCCCTCCTCCCTGGTTTGTGAATGGAACTTTTGTGTTTACTTGAGACTATGGAACTGGCAAAGACGATCAGTAGATTAGAAGTCTCCTCTCCCCCAGGGTTTACTTGGAGTGTATCCGCTGACATGTCCATCTGGGATGTTCACTAAGTGACTACTGTCTGCCTCGTGTTATGTTTGGGACAGCAGTGGCTGAGGTAGACAAGGCCCATCCCCTCTCGAAGCTTACAAGTGATTGGGGGAGGGGGGAGAAAATAAACAAAAAAAAAACAGGGAAATAAATCTTCTAAAGAAAACAAAATGGGGATGGGAATGAGGTGCCTGATAGCATGTTGGGGGATTGCTGATCTCAGGAGGTGGCATCGCCAAGGAGCTGCTTGGTGGAGAGCACAGTTCAGGTAGAAAGCTCCTGGGATTTGAATCAAAATCTATCATCTGTCAGTGTGCAGGAGGAACCTAGTGTCAACGACAGTCTCCTTAAATGATGTAAGAGTGCCGACAAATTTTTCTCTGGATTATCACAATGAAAAAGCACCTCAATTTCTTTTCAATTGTTTGGAAAATCATATAACTGGCAGAAAAAAATACTTTTTTTTTTTTTTTTTTTTTGTCTGAGACTCCAAACCACCACAAATTCTTTATAATACTTTTAATGGACATTAGGTATCACTACTGCCATCACCTAGATGATGCTTATTGAGCATCTTCTATATTCCAGGCACCACCAGGTACTATATTAGCACCCAAGGAGAGAATGACCATTAAGACCCAGGTTCGGCCCCTGAGAAGCCCAGTCAGCAAGCAGATGAGCCCTGCTGGTGCTGGTGTGGGGGGGTCTGGTATGGCCCAGGCAGTAAGTACCTCTAACCTTGGTGCATACCACAGCAGCTGTGACTGGATAATTTCCTGAGCTTTACAGAGGAGAAGGAAAAGGTACCACTTGCCTTAGGTATCAAAGCCTGTTACTTCAAATCCCGCTCTCCAAAGCTAGCCTTCTGTCAGCAGCACACACTGCTTCTTTTGACCAATTCAAAGAAGAAAGTAGCTTGTGGATTCTGAAGGATGGCTCATGTCCAGTCACTGAGGCTGGGGGCCCCCTCCTCTCCAGCCCAGACATTGATCTTGTGGCTTCCTGTTTGTTTAGCCATGACAGGAAAGCCCTGCCCATCTCTACTAAGTCTGACTTTATTTGTTGCTATAAATTTTGAGGAGCCTTCCTGATGGTCAGATAGCTGAAATTTTGCAGTTTCTCTTCAAAAACCAGAGAACATGGAGAACATTTGAAAAAGGGAAACAAATGCCCTACTGAATCATTGTAGGGTGGCATCCACAGATATCTTCTATAATACCAACTGTAGCAAGGGTCATCTTCTGCCTTCTAGCAGCTCTTAACCACCTATGCTCCCCCATACTGAATCTATACCTGGGACTGCAGCATCTTACGTGAATACTGAAGGAAAGGAAAATACTCATTTTATTTATTTTAAATTCTCCCCCTATTTAAGCTTCAAGGGGCATCTTTAGGGAGGTGCCTAGGTTGAAACTACATGATATGGAAACACACGTAAGTTGATGCTTCTTCTTATCTTTGGAAACTTAAGAAGTCTTGTGAGTCTATGTTCATAAGAAGATTTCTACAATTCCCTGGAGAGCTTTCATTCCATAAAAACCCAGAAATTTTCACAAAAGACCCCAAATAGCTTAAGCAACCTTGAAAAAGAAAAGCAAATCTGTAGGTATCACAATTCCATATTTCAAGTTCTATCACAGAGCTGTAGTGATCAAACAATGTGGTACTGGCACAAAAACAGACACATAGATCAATGGAACAGAAGAAATACCCCAGAAATAAACCCAAAACTATACAGTCAATTAATGATTGACAAAGGAGGCAAGAATATGCAAGGGCTGAATATGCATGCAGCCACATGCAGAAGGATGAAACTGGACCACTTTCTTCCAGTAAACACTAAAATAAATTCAAAATGGATTTAGAACTTAAATATGAATCCTAAAACCATAAACATTCTAGAAGAGAGCAGAGGCAGTAATTTCTCTGACACTGGCCACAGTAATTTCTTTCTAGATATGTCTCCTGAGGCAAGGGAAACAAAAACAAACTATTGGAATTACAGCAAAATAAAAAGCTTCTGCAAAGCAGTGGAAAAAAATCAACAAACCTAAGACAACCTACTGAATGGGAGAAGATATGTGCAAATAAGACATCTGATAAAGGATTAGTATCCAAAATATATAAAGAACTTACACAACTCAACACCAAAGAATAATAATCCAACTAAAGATGGGCAGAAGACAGGAATAGATATTTCTCCAAAGACAGCATCCGGATGGCTAACAGACACATGAAAATATGCTCAACATCACTCATTATCAGGGAAATGCAAATTAAAACTACAATGAGATATCACCTTACATCTGTCAGAATGTCTAAAAACAACACAAGAAACAAGAGTTGACAGGATGTGGAGAAAAAGGAACCCTCATGCACTGCTGCTGGTGGGAATGCAAACTGGTACAGCCACTGTGGAAAATAATATGGCAGTTCCTCAAAAAATCGAAATAGAACCTACATATGATCCAGTTGCATTTCGGTATTGCATTACTGGGTATTTATCCAAAGAATAGGAAAACACTAATTCGAGGCAATGCATGCACCCCTATGTTTATAGCAGCACTATCTACAATACCCAAGCTATGGAAGCAGCCCAAGTGTCCACCAACAGATGGATAAAGATGTGGTATGTATGTGTACGTAAACACACACACACACACGGAGGAATATTATTCAGCCATACGGAACAATGAAATCTTTCCATTTGCAATAGTATGGATGTATGGAGAGAATATACTGCTAAGTGAAACAAGTCAGAGAAAAAAATACTCTATGATTTCACTCATATGGAATTTAAGAGACAAAACAAAGGTAAAAAAGAGACAAACCAGAAAATAGACTCTTAACTACAGAAAAGAAACTGATGGTCACCAGAGGGGAGGCAGATGGGAGGATGGGTGAAAAAGGTGATGGGGATTAAGAGTACATTTATCATGATGAGCACTGAGTAATACATAGAATTGCTGAGTCACTATATTGTACCCCGAAACTAATGTAACAGTGTATACTAACTGTACTGGAATTAAAAGAAAAAGAAAAAAAATTATAAAAAGAAAAAATAAGAACAACAGTTTTCAGAAGGGAACATGAAGGATGTAAAAAGCCTTCCTATTATTCCCTTGAAGGCTCTCTTCCCATTTCAGATATTGTTGAATCTTGAAAATGGATTTTTTAATCAGCCTTTGGCAGTTCTGTCGAGGATATAGTCTCTTATGGCATTCTGCAGAAATAGGATTATTGATATACTTTGTTATTGTTTTAAAATGACATTCATAGCCTTCTTTGTATCTAAAATGGCAGAATTTTTATAAGAAACATTTACCAAGAAAAAAATTGAAAATAAGTTTAAAAAAATCAGAAATTCTCTTTAAACATGTTGGGAACCTGTCAATGCTCGGGACTACACTGAATAAAGTGAGTTGCCCAACAGGAAATACTTATCAATATCACTGGTTATCTGGCCTGTGAACCATGTGTCCAAAGGGCCACTCCCCATTTCTTTCTATCTGGGCCACGGAAGAAATCTTGTTCTGAAATCTAATAATAAGAAAGGAAAACAGAGGCCCCAAATGCAGTGCAGAAATATTTCAGAATTCTTTTCAACTGCTTGATCGGTCATAGTTCTACACCTCCAAATTGGGGAACTAATGATCCAGCACATTTTGGTTGCTCCACAGGAAATATATATGAATCATGGCATGAATCACACCCAAAATGTATTTGTGAAGTACCTGTCTCACCAGGTTGAATTAAGATCTCAGTCTTGAGAGAAGAAAGATTCTGAGGTTCAAATTTGGGACATTTACTAGCTAAAAATATCTGAACAAGGAGCCTGTGATTACTATTATAGTTACATGTAGAAAAGCTGCAGCAATATTCACTGTTGGAGATGAACTTACCGATCCTTTCTCTGCACTATCCTTACTCCAAATTAGGAACGAATCTCTGTAGTGACAGATTCTTTCTTTGAGGATCCCAGGCTAGGAATGCTCAGATTTTAAAGCTTCTCAGGAGAACACGTATGCCTTCTGAGTTTCTGTCTAGCTCTATGTGGCTCCTGGCCATCCGGTGTTAGAAGGTGGATAGAACTGGCCTCCCCCTCCAAACTTTTACATGAAGCCAAGTCTCTGAGGAGCTCAGAGAAACAACTGAAAAACCTCAACTAGTCCTCACTTCTCACTCACACACATCTGTTGTTCCAGTTTCAAACTACTCTGCAAGAGTCTGATCTTCTCACCGAGGCTCAGCTGAGTGACCAGAGAGCACAGAAAGTGAAGAATGAGTAAAATGTGACAAGGAGTCACAAAAGTAATGACCACACAGGAGAGTGCAGGAGTCAGACACAGCACCAAACATCGGCAGCTCTCTTGTTTACATTTTACACTTCACTCATTGAGCCAAGAGAGAATTTTTCTGAGTAGGTTTTTTTTTTTTTTTTTTAAGATTTTATTTATTTGACAGAGAGGGAGAGAGAGAGAGTGAGCACAAGCAGGGGGAGCAGTAGAGGGAGAGGGAGAAGCAGACCTCCCACTGGGCAGGGAGACTGATGCGGGGCTTGACCCCAGGACCCTGTGGTCATGACCTGAGCCAAAGCAAGAGGCTTAACCAACTGAGCCACCCAGGTGCCCCTCTGAGTATCTTAAGTAAACTGGAGAAGTCCCACTGCCAGATGAGGTTCTGTTAAAGAGCAAATAGCAAGGATCACTCTTACTCTTTTCCTAGAGAAATGAATAATGACAACAAGTAGAGCAGCTTTGAACTTGGATGATGAATTAGTTACATATCCTGCTGGTTTCCTACTTGTGCGTTTACACTTTTAAAATACTAAAAAAAGGAGGCAGTCCTTCAGTCAGTGGATGGATGAATAAACTGCGGTCCATCCAGACAATGGAATATTACTCAGCACTAAAGAGGAGTAAGCTTTTCAGGCCATGAACAGACATACAGGCAGGACCAGCCTAAAAAGACTACATGCTTTAGGATTCCAAATCTACGGCATTCTGGAAAAGGCAAAACAATGGAGCCAGGAAAAGGATCAGTGGTTGCCAGAGGTTGGGCGGAGGAAGCTTCGGATGAACAGGCAAAGCACAGAGGATTTTTAGGGAAGTAAAACTATCCTGTATGATACTGTAATGGTGGATACACGGCATGTTACTTCATCCAGACCCACAGAATGGACAGCACCAAGAGTGAATCCTAATGTAAACTATGGACTCTGGGTGATGATGATGTGTTGGTGTGGATTCACAGATTCTAGCAAATGTGTCCTGTTGACGGATATTGATCGTGAGGGAGGCCGTGCCTGTGTGGGAACTCCCTGTGCCTTCTGCTAAATTTTGCCGTAAACCTAAAACTGCTCTAAAAAAAAATCCATAAAAAAGAAAAAGTAAAGCTAAAAAAAAAAAAGATACATATCTTTCACATGGAAGCAAATAAAGGGTACGACACGAGAACTGTCGTACGCATAGGCCACCAATTTCATGAGCACACATCAAGCATTTTGAATGAAAGAAACTACATTTGCAAGAAAATAGCTTCACTGATTTTATGAAAGCTTTCAAGAGGACATTAAAGTTACCTATTTACAAAAAAGGAAAAACATTTAGAGGATTATTAGGTTATTAGAATGTGTTTGACCTTTCATACAGTTATCAAGAAGGAGTTTAAAGGTTTCTCCAATTTAGGCAAATGGACTCGTTATAATAGGCAGGATATTATGTTACTTAAAGAAATAGATTATGAATTTTATGAAACAAGGTTCATTTCCAATTATGTTAAACATCAGAAGAAGCATTATTAGAACTTTTATTTCATTTAGCCTGAGACTTCTATGTATATTATGAAGTTCAAATTGGTTTTAAAGATAATGCTTTTTATGATGAAGCAAGGAAAAAACCTGATAATGAATCTATTTCTGATTAAATCCTCATTCTTCCTGTACAATAGAAATTAAACTCTGAAAAAAAAGGAAATAAAGCCAGTGTAAGAAAAATTAGCAAGCTAAAACAGTAACATGTTAATAAGAAACAGACACTAGGTAAATATCAAAGATTTTAGGGTTTGAAGGAAAATCAGGCAGAAATTGCCTAGTCAGTCTCTGACCAGTAAACTGGAATAAACTGGACATGGACTGAGAACGTGCTCCCTGTCCCAGGTTGAAAACTCAGGTCTCCTGACGCCCATCTACCACCTTGACCACCACCAGGTATTCAATGTCAAGAAGAAACAGAAACAGAAGGTTACCAAACTTGCTTGCTGCCCACCAGAATATCTACCTCCTGTGCCATAGTTCTTTCTTTATAAAATCAAGTCTTAAGATATTTATGAGTGTAATAGCTAAGAGATAGTCACTTAATAAAAATGTTTAATATGGGTTTTTAAATTTTCTTCAAAATGGGCAGTATTGCTTAACTTTTAGAAAATGTCCACTCTGGTGCTTTCATCATATTTTAAAATTACTTAAAAAAAAAAAAGAAAAAGAAGATATACCAAATAATACATTTATTAAAAAAATAAACCAACCCCTCCCAAAGCTCTGTAGGAGATAACACAAAGAGCCCACACCTATAGAAGCTCAGCAACCCTGACCCCACCCCACACACTTACTTCTCAGGCTCCCCATGCTGGGGGCTGGGTGGGTCCGAGGGGGCAGTGTGCTGTGGTAGGGCGGGGTGGTGCTGAACAGGATGTCGTTGGGCAGGGCTTGGTCCAGTATTGAACTTCGAGAACTGCCAAAGGAAGAGCCTCTCCGATTGCTGCATATGCTCTCATCAGAGAGGGTGCGATAGAGTGACCGTCTCGGAGATAGGTTCCCATAGAATGAAAACTAGGGGTTAAAACGTGGGGGGAGAATGGGGAAGACAGGCAAGAAAGAGTTAAAGCATGGAACTGATTGGACTAAATCCGGTGGGTACACACACCACTGTGCTAGCTTCTCTGGGTTGTCCCTAGGCAGGCAGGCACAAAGCATTAGCTCCGGAATGCTAAACCAGGCTTGCAGGTCCTGTAGGCAAACACACCAGGGCTCTGGTGCTGTTACTGGATTTGAATGTTTGCCTCCTTTGACATTCTGTGAAATACTATCATGAATTAGACATGCATGGCTTTATTGATTCTGAAATGTTAAATGGAACCTCCATAACCTTAGAGCAGTGCCAGCTCCTGGAAATGGAGAAGGTTGTTGCCATTTCCAGTACAGTTATTTGAAAGCACACATAGCACTGCCTTGATTTTAATTTGAAATGACTATGTTTTAATATTAGACAATTTCTGTACCAATGAACAGCATGTGAGGTTCAATATCATCTAAATAATAATAAAGCTAAATTTTGAACATGGTATAGCTTTCTAGGCCATGCAAACAGGTTCAAGAAAAAGGCTATCAGTCCAGTAAAATCTAGTTGGCTATAAAAATCACCACCCATAAAAGTCTATTACAATTGTTGAAAATGGAGCTATAGTTACTGATCATAACTGGATTTAAGGGAACCACTGAAATGATTGAGTGTTAATCCCACGTAGGGTGAGGAAAATTCTGACTCAAGAGGCAAACAGTCCAAAGCTCAAGAAAAACTAAATCAAATCTGACTTTCCAACTTCTTCTGCATACCGAACCACATTCCTTTTATATAAACAATAGTAAAAGCCAGAATGTTTGTATCAAACAAATACAGAAACGGCTATTTACATTCATGAGTGCAGCAAGGAGGCTAAAAATATTTCTATTGTATGTGTTCCTTCCATTGTGTCAGGTCTGTCCAACTGATGAATGGCAACTGGAATGTGTGCAGACTACAAAGTTAAATTTATACTACGAAAAGAAGGTGATTTGTCTTAGAAGGGGGGAAAAACGACCCACATGCCAAGGAGAAGCTCATTCCTATAAAAAGAGAAACTATTTGCACTTTTTGTACAATGGTCTGCACTCAAGCTTATACAGTACCATATACATGATTTGATACAAGTTTAGAAAAAAAAAGACTCATTATGATTGACTTCATCTGGGATTCCCTCTTCACACACCAGCAGGTCCTTCAGAACATGATTACAGGCGCATTAGATTAAAGCAGCTTTGAGGTAGTATCTAATTAGAGTGTTATTCTAAGAACACAATTAGGTTAATTGCAGTATTGTTTTATTATAGGGAAGACAGAAGCACACAGACTTGGTGTTTACCCTGATCACAGACAACATAGCAATGCCTGATTTTTTTTTTTTCCTTTTCCTTTGGACAAGAGAGCGCGCAGGATTAGAAGGGAGGACGTCCAGATTCTGTCCCTGACTCTGCCACCGGATATTTATGTGCACTTCTCATTTCACCATGTGGGGACTCAGTTACTTGCAAAGGGAGGAGACAGAGCTAAATTACCTGGAAGTCCCTTTTAATACTTTCCATGACTTCACAAAGTGGTTTAAGGGACTGTAATAATACTGAAGCTACAACTTGTAACAACACTAATCTATCATCAGCCCAGGACCACTTTGTTATGAATGAAGGTGTGTCAACCAACGTGAGGTTGGCTTATCAGACTGACACATGGCCTTCCCATGAGGCTGCTGCATAGTTCCATATTTACAATGTCTCAGCCTGGAGCAGAGGGTAGACTTCTGTAGCACGTCTGGTGGTATGGATTTAACAGCTACGGTTTCTTTCTTTTTTCTTTTCTTTTCTCTCTTTCTTTCTTTTTTAAAAGATTTACTTACTTATTCATGGGACATAGAGAGGCAGAGAAAATAGGCAGAGGGAGAAGCATGCTCTGTACAGGGAGCCTGATGCGGGACTCAATCCCAGATCCTGGGATCACACCCTTGATACGAAGGCAGATATTCAACTGCTGTGCCACCCAGGTGTCCCAACAGCTACCGTTTCTGATCACCCAGATCTGAAAGTACTATAGGAGGTCTGTCTGTGTTTTTTCTTTTCTTTCTTTTTTTTTAAGGATTTATGTGTTTGAGAGAAGGAGAAAGAACAAGCATGTGAGTGAGCATGAGCAGGGGTAAGGCAGGGGTAGAGGGCAGAGGGAGAGAGAATCCTAAAGCAGACTCCCCACTGAGCAGGGAGCCTGATACAGGTCGATCCCAGGACCCTGAGATCATGACCTGAGCTGAAACCAAGAGTCAGCCGCTTAATTGGCTGAGCCACCCAGGTATCCTGCCCATGTTATTTCTTATCTTTGGTCCAAATCTGCAGTGCATGTTTCATTGTCTCCTTTCTTCAGAAGAGGACCCTGGGCCAAGAGGTCAAGTCACGTGCACAAAGTCATGCAGCTGATTGTCGGGAGAGCTGGGACCTTAGGCCAGCCCCGCTTGCCTCTCGTCCATCCTCTCACCATGCTAGAAAGCTGCCCTTCCTAACCTCTCTCAGGCTCCCTCTGCTGAGTGACAGAACCAACCCTGAGGATGGGCAGCCACGCACAGGCTAACAGGTAGAATCGTGAGAGAGAATGCATGTGGGGGGGACTCCTGAAATTTCTGGGTCTCCTTAGAACCTTCTTTAGTGTCTCTGGTAACTTCAAAGCCTCTCGAAAGTAGCTAACCTTTCTTCGTCCCTCCTCCACTAAGGGACTGTCAGGAAGCATCAGCTTCAGGAAATCTTCTTTGGACAGCACATGCTGAGTTTCTGAGGCTGCATCCCCCACCACGGTCTGGTGCTGAGCTGCTGTGGACAGGAGATCCATCTCACCATATAGCCTGTTGAAACAAACCAGAGGGGAAATTAAGAGCCGAGGTCAGCATCTCTGTCAAGAGCCTGTAGCCTAAAGGATTCAAATCCGCTGTTTCGATAACCACATACTCATACATGTGATTCTTAATTATTAAGTCAGCTCATTGTTGCTGCATCTGCTCCAGACCCCCACGTCATTTTACATCTGTGAAATGAGCTCCACAGCAAAGTTAAGAGTTCTGAATAATTCAGAAACAGATCAGATCCCTGAAGCCCTGGATGGGAAAAAAATATAGCCCGCTTCTTTTTTTTTTTCAAAAAGGTCGTGTCAGAAAACACATTTTCAATAATTCATCAGAGATTATCATATGTCCTTTGCAACACTTCCTTGTGATTCTTAGAAACTCGAGAGAGGCTTTCTCTTGTGGCTAGACAACCACACCCCCACATCTCACCCGGACAACACAGAGAGAGGCACCCTAGGGAGCCTGAAGTTTAAGAGTAATCGATTCAGGCATGTGCCAAGCATGTTTTATTATCAGCAATTCCGCAAAGCCGTTTGGATAAATAAAGCAGCTGTCTCCCTTAATTATCAGCATATAAAAATGTATTTACGGACAACAAAAGTCTGTCTCGCAGAATTACCGTTTTCAGCTCCTTTCCAGGGAGAAAACCAGGGAGTCATTTTTAAAAGGTTTACTCTGGAAATGCAATCTGAGCAACCAAACATTCCGGAGGACACACAGAACCATTAGTGGCTGTACTGTCAGCAGAGGTGAGTGGTCCTTGCCGCATGACCTGAAATGTAGTGTTCTAGGAATCCATGGCCCAGGGCAGCAGGCAACACAGGATGACCTGTATGTTATTGCCAGGTGTCACTGGGATGACTCTATTTCAAAAGCCAGGCTATCCTGTCACAGTGTGACAGCTCACTAAGAAATTACCAGCATAAGAAACACACAGATATGCTCAAAATTAACAATGGTTAGGTCTCTATGGCCTTCGCTTTGTTTCTGAGATAGATAAGGCTCAGTCTGAGGGTTCCACAATATGATTTTAAAGGGATAACTGGAAACCTCAGAGTTCTGTGAAACTTCTGGAGGGCAGAACTGATTTTATATTTTATGTCCGAGGAGACACTAACATTCTGTAATCCTCACTATACAGACTAGACACACTATACTTGGCCAGTCCTTTTCAAAGCATTTTTCTGTGATCTGGTGAAACACTGTTTTTGCAGTCTGCGGTGTTAGAGTCATCACTTCTACACTAACTGGAGTGTTTCCTTGTTTTCGGAGTGCTTGACTCAGCTGGACAAGGCCTGGGGCACCTGCCCCCGCCCCAAGCACACAGAGACCTGGCCTGGGAGCCGGGTTCAAATTGCAGCACTAGCCTTGTGTGAAGAGGGTATATAAGTGGTCTGCCAGGCAGATCCTCAAATCCCTTCCTCACCATGCCCCCAGGGTTGTCCTCCTTTTGCTAAAAGTCAGTGCCATCAAACCCAGATGTGAAAATGCACAGTCTCTTGTAGGCTCTGGAGACAAAGATGTCCACATGGGCACCTGTGGACAGAGGCAGGCCCTTTCCTGATTGTTCGAGAGAGCCCCCTGCTCAAATAGTGCTTCTACACAGAATTTGGAAGGCTTGGGATGCATTTCTGGGAAGCACTCAGAAGATGTTACTAAAGAGGCAGACATACCAACGTTATCATTAGGAATTTGCATTTATGGTCAAAAAGTGTGGTTATCACTATAAAATTCCTTTCTAAATAACTCATCTGCAATGACTGACATGTTTTTTTTTTTTTAAAAAAGGATTCCATGTTCAGGTTCAGTACTAAAATGATTTTTAATTGAGAGAGCAGAATCAGGTTCTTCCTATTTAAGAAGTGGAATCATTTTTTAAGAGAAAAAAGTGATACTAATTTATCAACCAAGTTTAAGATCTAGAAGTGCTCTCTGAAAATCACTGCAGCCCCCAGTGTCCCCTGGTGCTGTCAGTATTTGGGGACACAGCCAAACACAGTGGCTTCATAATTTGGTGCATGGGAGATTGTTTTTCCTTAAGGCTGTCTTTTTTTTTTTTTTTTAATAAGCAAATGAACAGTAAAATAGCTCTGACTGCCCTTGCTTTGTATCCTTGAAACATGATTTCTTTACCTCTTCAAAGAGACAGAACAGTTTCCACATGTGCTTTATAAAATGGATTATCAGCATTTTTTTCTTTTTTTCAAACAGGTACATAACATCCCCCCCTTTACCTGTTCCCACAAAACCTAACAACCAAAAGGGAACCAAAGTCATGTTAAAATTAGGTAGAGTCCTTTTTCTTTGAAGATGTCACTTATACGACAGATTTAAGAAACACACTCACAGACTCTGTGGGAATTCAAATTGTCCTTGAACTTGTTTATTTACGGGCGTTATGATCCCATCATCAATAATAGCACATTATCATGACTGTTCTACTGCAGGTGGCTTGTTGGATATAAGAATAAAGAACGGGGATTTCTTTTCTATGCAAATGTCAAGGAAAGAGAAGACTTTTAAAGAGAAACATAAATGCCACCATTTAAGAAGTTTTACAGAGATGTTTCTAGATTACTCCTTTTTAGAAAAGATGTTTCTGACACATGCTCAGTCAATCCCCATGGTGTGGAAGGTTGCCTAGACACGAGCCCCTGGCCACCTTACCCCTGACACTCGGTCACTTCAGGCTCCTCTGGCGGTGGGCTGTCCTCTGATTTCTTCCAGCCGATGACATACTTGCTCACGGCTCCCTGCCGGTGGTAGGGCTTGGACACAGACCCAGGGACCTGTTGGGCACTACTGTGAGACACGATGTAGACTTTGGACGTATCCAGGGACCCACTATTTTTGGAACAGTGAGCTGAGGGGCTTCCTGAATGGTGTGAACCGCTGGGGAGAGAAAACAGACCAAAGCTGTCATACAACCAGATTCCAGCAGTGCTAGATTAGCCTCTGGATGTGGAGCTACCATGCTTGACACCCGGGAGTGACATTGGGTGGAATGAGGCAGGCACAGCTGTCTTTCAACCATGGGACTTTCAAAATGCCCAGTTTTCCAAGGGCTAAGGATGCTCCTGTGCCAGCTATAGGCCTGTGGCTGGAAGGATGTTAAAAACAATCAGAGGAAAATAAAATAGAAACATAAATAGCAAACTGAAACAGATGCTTCAAAAAACAAGGAAACACAAGAGAAGATGCTCAACCTCTGCTGTTGCCAGGAAAATGGCCCTGCAAACCACAAAAGAGTACCCCGCACATTCACTACCTCACAGAAATGGGAGCATCTGACACTGAGTGTCCAGTGTTGGCCGGGACTGGGAGCAATGGGCACCTTCCCACTTCTGGGAGGAGCAAGAAGTGTGGTGGGCAGCCTGGAAGGCAGCCTAGGCATTCCTTGTGCAAGTGTGCACCTGTAGTTATGACCCAGTAGTTCCGCTCCCACGTGCATACCCTAGATAAACCTCTGCATGCGTGCCATTGGAAATAAGTAACAATGTGGACAGGAGGACTGATTTAATAGGTTCCCAATGGCAGCAACCTGAATCATCAGTGAAGTAGATGGTCAATTAATAAACAAGAATGGATAAAGGGAATACGTCATGAACAAATAAACTGAGACTGCACACAACTCAGGTGAACCTCACAGACATCATGTAGAAAAAGAAGCAAATCACAAAGAATATGTTGATTCCATTTTTAAAGGAAGTTTATAAATAGGCAAGATGGTATTACTCAGGAACGCATATATTCAGTTAGCAAAAACAACAAGGAGATGCGAGGGGAGGCTGATCAGAAAAGCAGGTTAGTGGCTACCTGAGGACACGACAATCGCTGGTCACAGAAATGCCAATTCTGTATCTGGTGGCTGTCTGCATGTTTGCCATATGACCACACGATACAACAGCAACAAAATAAAATTTGAATGATGTAATCCCAAAAACAATTTTTTTTTTTTTTAATTCAGTGGTTAAGCTAAGACCAGAAGGACTCCTCACTGGCTGTATAAACACCTCTAGAGTGATAAAAGCCTAAAAACCTTTTTTAATTCAGGAAATTGACACTATCACATTTTATGATTATTGAGTACAAAATAGAGATTATTGGCATTATTTTACAAACATGAAAAAATTAAAATTAAAATCTAAATGCTTCAATTACAGTAGGCCTCCCGGTATGATGAAATATAACCTTATTCTGAAACCCCTGATAAGCACCTACCTTTCTGAAAAACCTACATAATCAAGCATCATGTGATGCAGGTGGTAAACAAAAAAAAGTCCAAAATTAAGAATGGTTATTAAAATGGACTTTTTATAAACATTCACAAAGAAACAGGGTGATAAAATAAGCCAACTCATTTTGAGGGTTTACATAGCTGGAGACACTGTGGTATATGAAAAATTAAAAAACAAACAAAACAAAACAAATAAAACACCTCATTTACTACTATGAAGTAACTGCTGTTGGTGGTAGGTCTGGCGTTCCTGCGTGGGACTCAGAGCAACTTCAGTCTGAGCTTAGACTGGGCTCTGAGGGGAGATGCTTAATTGCCTTCTCATGCCCAAAACTACCCAAGAAAGAAGCAAGGACTGCAGAAGGGAGCTAATGAACTCTTTTCATTTACTGGGGTACACACCCAGTAGTCACCTCCCAAAATGAAATCTCCACATCCAGGCAATGGGGTCTGAAGGCCTGTATGTTTTCCCCTGAACTGCCTATTTTGAAAAATTTCAGATTTAGGGATATGGTATAAAAAAGAGTAAAATAACACCCATATATCCTTTATCTACAGTTACTATCTGTTACTATTTTGCTACATCTGCATTATTCTTCTGTACACATATTCCTTTCTGAATCTTTTGAAAATAGCTGCAAACTTTGTGACATCATACTCCTGCATTTCAGCATAAGGTCCTTAAAAATAAGGACATTCTCCCTACATGGTAACACCATGATTATCACACTCAGGAGATCACACATGAATGCAATGCTATCACCTAATATGTCGTTCAAATTCTAATTTCCCAACAGTTCCCAATCATGCTTATGGAAAGTTTCCCCATTCAGAGCCCTGCAAAGGGTCATGCATTGCCTTTAGCTACCACGAGCTAACATGATTTTCCTTGAGATGTTTTATTTTATTTTATTTCTTAAATATTTTATTTATTTATTCATAGAGACACAGAGAGAGGATGAGAGGCAGAGACACAGAGAGAGGGAGAAGCAGGCTCCATGCAGAGAGCCTGACGTGGGACTCGATCCAGGGTCTCCAGGATCACACCCCGGGCCACAGGCGGCGCTAAACCGCTGTGCCACCAGGGCTGCCCGTTGAGATGTTTTATAGTTAAAATCTCAGGGTACCCCAAGCCTAGGACAGTTAACATGCTGCGTAAACCACCCACATGTCCCACTGAAATGACCAAAATGAACATCTTTTGAGAATGTATTGTGAATAATGACAGCAGGGTCAGAAACTGTCATGTGCTTTTACATTTGCTTTACAAAAGTTATTTTTCTAATGCAGACTTGATTAAAAGTGTCTTTTACCCCAACAGTTAAATGTATAAACCTTAAATTCTAGAAAGATCTCGGGTTCATGGGTTTGAGCCCCATGCTGGGTGTAGGGATTACTGAAGAAAACAAATAAATAAATTTCGAAACAAATTTACTGAGTCGACTGGATGAGCAAAATGGCAAAAATCTATGCTTAGCAGCAGTAACATCATTATAAAAGTTTTCTCTGAAATGGGTAAATATTTTAGCATTTTGGCAATAAGCTTTCCATGAATCCTTCCCTTCTGGACTAAAATTCTTATTTTCAAGTTTCAACACCTGAAAGCTCCAATCGCTGCTACTAAGAAAAGGGTATAAATAATGATAAACAGGAGATAATATGAGTCATTCTGCAGAACAGTCCAGAACATGAAATTATTATTATTTGAAGTTGATTCATTTCACTTTGCAAAACCTTGGTTAGGCTGATATGACTCCTGCTTTATGTTCTGAGCTCTTATCTATGTGTTCTGCCCTCTCAGAAAGAAAAAAAAGGGGGGGGGGCAGAGATTGCTGAACTAAATATCTTGAGTAGCAAAGAAAGCAGGCTGTATCCATGCTTGTTCTGCTTTTTGGATGACTCCTGCACATCCCTCCACCTGTCTGTTTTTGCCTCCTGCCACAGAAGCTTGTCTTAAAGAGTTTTATGTCCTCCATCTTCCTCAGCACAATCCTGGAATTGTACCACACACACAGCCCTGTGCTTACTTTCCTCCTGGATGGCTGCTAGGAAGTAAGCGTGTGGGCGCTGGGGCTGGAGAGGGTGGTGGTGCAAAAGCCGAATCAGAGTAAGAGTGTGCCCTACACTGATGAGGGCTCGTAAACACCAGAACTGGGAACCACTGGTCCCAGGCACCTCCTACTTCTCCAGGAGAAACCCCCCGTGGGTTTATGTACTGAATCAATAAGCATTTACCAAGCATTCTTCCTGCATTGCCCTCCTTCTTTTCCCAAGCCTTCTAAGGCCCACCATGTGCAAAGACGTGTACTAAAGTGCTGTGGATACAAAGTGAATGAGACAAGCCAAGGGCCTTCCAGGCTCCAGGACACTCCAGTGAAAGCAGGCAGCAGTGAGCTACAGTCTCATGCAGGGAGATGTGGAATAAGCATAACCCATCTCGGCTAGGGGTGAGTGCGCACAGGGAAGGAAAACGTTATGGGATCCAGAGTGCGTGGGGGATGGGGTGTGACTTGAGCCAGGGTGGTCGGCCCTGCTCTCAGCCCCTACAAGCAGTTTATTGTGCTCCTTCTGCTACTTGGCCTATTCCCAGTCACTACCCAGACCCCTGGGGACTGGCCCTCAGCTCCCAGGTGATCACGCACCGGCCTGAACAGAAGCAGAAGAGGAAAGCAGGGGAGCTGGTGATTTTGTCATCACAGACTTGTGTATGCCGGCCGGGGCACTGGCCCTTCGGGGTCTGCAGAATCTGACAGAGGCTTTCATGAGCACAACTCCTTTTACCTCAACTTGCAGAAACCTTAAAACTTATTTTAAACATTTTAAATGTAAAGTATCAATATATTTAATGTTTAAAGTATTTCAAGATAAAAATACTTATATTTTATACTCATATAAATAAATATGATATTTGAAATTTTAAAATATTTTAAAAGCTTCAAAATATCTTACGTCTTATTTTCTCTGGTTCTCCTGCACAGGTCAGGGGACAGATGGGAGGAAGTATTCAGAGGACTCAATTTAATGACTGAATTTTACCCTGAGCAAAAGCATAGAGCTGAAGTTGAAAGGTGGCTTCAAAGTCACTGTCAGCGAAGAACAACAAGAAAAACCCAGCCAGGTGCTAAGGGACTTCAGTCCCTCAACATGTATCATTTCCACAACAGCTGTGCACAAGTTCAGTTTAAAGTGGTAGAAGAAAGTAAAATCAACCAGAAATTCCATCTCACACTTGTACATACTTTTTAATAGCCTAACCCATTAAATTAATGAACAGTTAAGGTATTCAAGAAAGTCTACTTCAAATCCCTACACGTATCCCTGCCTCTATTTATAAACGAATGTGCTCTCAGTGCAGCTTCCACAGAAATTTTCCTTAATAGTGCTACAAAATTCTGTTTGCGATGCCAGTAACATTTGTCTTACAAGGTATCACGGAGTCGGCTGTTTTACAAAACTTGTACACTCTGAATAAGACATTCGAAGGGTAGAAATTCCCAAGGTGATTCCTGTAGTGGGGCCAATTTTCAACTGTCCCTGAGGTTGGAAAGGAATAATGTAGGTAACTGAAGTCACTAATACTTCTGCATTATATCAGCTATTTATCACTAAACGTTTTAAGTCAAATTATTAATGAGAACTGGTAAGCAGTAGTAAGAACATCTATTTTGAAAATAATCTCCATATCCTATGCTCCCTCTGCCCCAACAGAAGGAGACCTAGTATGGGGTGAATCCTTAGGACCCCTCGTCTGGCACTGCCCCTCCTTCTCCTGGTGAAACAATACTTTGATTTTCTTCTGGGGAAGCAGCAGTCTTCTCGGCTGCATGGTTTGGGAGGGACTGGCCTCTGTGAGGGGCACTGCCTGCCTCAAACAGTGGTACCTCCTACCACTCCGAGGGGACATGAGGAGGTAATTTGAAGATGTGGGTAGGAGAGTTTCTGCTGAAACTAAAGAAAATCACACTTTCTTCCTGTGGACACAGGAGCATGGGCTAGGGGTCTGCAGGTGCCATGGCCATTTTTGACCAAGAGGGGCCCCCTGAGATTTCTGGGGCTTTGATGTGGAACCTAAGGATGGAAGGTAACCCAGTTGTGGGTGGTATCATGTGAGTTGCAAGCAGAAATACCTTGACAGTTCTGGACTTTACAGTTACATGAACTGAAATATTGTGCTTGTTGTGTGAACTGATTAGTGGGGAGTTTCCTTTGACTTGTAACAAAAATGCCCTCGAGTGACATAAACAGTAAGGAAGACGCCAATGAAGGTGTGAGCCACAGGACAAGAAAAGCAGAACAGCAGCAGTGAGGAGGTGCATGTGTGTGCAAGTTTTACATAAATAACTTTTCATGACTTCCAGGGAAGAGAGCTGAAATGTTCTACATGTTTCTTTGAGAACGGGATCACGGTTACCCCTGTTTCTACCCACTGACTGAACATGGGGTTGTCCACTGTGGCTTTTGGCCCAGAGTTGGTGAAGTCCCCGCCCCTGGCCATGGCTGTAGGAGCAAGGGACAAGGTCCTGGCACACCGATAGCTTCGAGATGGGTTTTGGGGAAAAGCCTGATAGTAACTGGGAGTTGAGTTAGGAAGCCATGCAGACAAGAAGGGAAATTAGGGTGGTCAGTGTGCAGGGGTTAAATTCTGTCCACAGCCAAACCTGAACAAATGAGTTTCTGTCCAGTCTCTGACAGCACAAATCACAAATCATAGGAGTTTTAAAACCATTGTACAGATGTACATCACATAAAAGTTTAAAGCTACTTGTAACTGTGTATTAAACATCTGCACTTCAGATATCATTCTTTTAAACTTAGCTAGTCTTTATTTTAAAAAAATGGAACTGATAATCTGAGTGTACTTTCAGACCTTGGGTGCCCCCTTTCTGGAAGGGGGTCATCAGAACCCAGAAGACACCCGCACTGCCTTCATCAGAGGGGGCTACACCCGGACAATGCAGAGCCTTCCACCCCCAGTTCCTGGAGCGGGGGTACAACTGAGTACTGCCCAGATCTGTCCACTTCTCCTAAAACTTTAGGAGATGACATTGGGAGAGGGTAGTCAGTGGCCTGACTCGAGCAATTAATATCCATGTGTAGTTCTCGCCCTCCGGAGAGGAGGGAAGAGAACAGACACACAGTGCCTTACTGATGTGCAAATTTCACACCCAGACTTCCGAAACAGGCCCTTCATCTGAGGTTGCAGGGCGGGGCGGCCAGTGGACAAGCTACCTTGCCTGCGCACACTGCATCCGTTTCAGGGCCCTACCCGCCCCCAGCAGGACTCCGGGGGCGCCCGCAGGTGCAGGCCCGGCGCGCAGGTGCACTGACCTGGAATGGGACGAGATCTCGCTGAGGTCACCCATGCTGCCGTCGGCCGCGCTGCCGGCCGAGATGGGGGGTGCGTAGCTGTGCACCGCGTACATCTTCGCCTGCTCGTCGTCGGGCCCTGCCACGTCGGCGGAGTCGGCCCACTGCTCGGCGCGGCTGTGCATCACCGCCCGGCCGCCCGGCAGGTGCACGGCGCCCAGGACGGCGGCGGGCATGCAGGGCGCCGTGTCGATGCCGCTGTCGGTGGAGGCCCCTTTGATGTAGGTCAGCCCCAGCAGCTCCGGGTCCATCAGGTCCCCAGACCCGAAGTGCTTGTCGTCGCTGTTGCTGGACGTGTTACTGGAGAGTGTGTTGCTGCTGGAGTGACTGGAGCAGCTTTTGTCTCCGATCTTGAGAAGAAAGAGAAATGGAGAGGCTTCGGATGGATCCATCCCATGCTTTGCTTCTTTGTGAGGATGATTACTCTCACTCAGACTCACAAAGCTATGCACCAGATGACTCCAACTGAACCTTTCTACTTGCTCTTCGGTGTGAGGCAATGAGAAAATTCACTTTTAAAAAAAACACCCTGATTTTAGGCAGAAGTCCCAGACTCATAACTCCTCTCATAATTCATTTTAAGTTAAATGGGGATCATCTCAAGTCTCCGCTCAATTATTTATGCACAAAGCCCAAAAGTATTACCCCGGTGTCACTAACTAGAAAATAATCAGCAAATGTTAGACAAACTGGAAAAGCACATGGAAAATTAATAAAAGGAGGAGAATAGCCTTTTATCGAGAAAATTCTACTGTGACAAATTACAGCGCCAGCCTTGGGTGTGGGCAGAGGACTCAGGTTTGAATCACAGCGGTGCGATATTGTGCCATCACTCTGCCCCTATCTGTGCTTGTAACACTGAGTGTGGGTGATTAACATGTGGACCCAACAAGATAATACACTGTCATGTACTGCAGCTGCCAAGCGCAAGATAAGTGTAAGTGACTTCTCTGGGAGACCTCAGGTACTATTGAGAAGGGGCGCTCTTTGCACTCCCTGGAAGACAAAAAGCACAGACAGTGCAATACATGTCCCCATCTGGCTAAGGTGCTCCTACAGACACAGCTCTTCTGCACAGCCTGGGGATGCTGACACGACCTGAAGCACTGGCAAAGGGCAGAATCATGAGGACAAGTGGTGCCCTGATCTATCTTAAAGTGGCTTGGCCTTGGGACACCTGGGTGGCTCAGTGGTTGAGTGTCTATCTTCAGCTCAGGTTGTGATCCCAGGTCCTGGGATCGAGTCCTGCATCAGGCTCCGCAAAGGGAACCTGCTTCTCTCTCTGCCTCTCTCTGTGTTTCTCTCATGAATAAATAAATAAAATCTTAAAAAAAAAAAAAAAGGAAGGAAGGAAGGAAGGGAGAGAGGGAGGGAGGGAGGGAGGGAGGGAGGGAGGGAGGAAGGGGGGAGGGAGGAAGGGGGAAAAAGCAACTAAGTCAGGCAATGATAAAACTCCTTCACCTGCAAGTTTTCCAAACTAAGCTACTCTAAAATGTTGGCTTTATGTGGCAAACACTACCAATTCATGTTTTCGTGTTTGGTGAAGTTCAGCTTCACTGAACTATGGTTCCCTGTAAGGCTCACCCATTAGGTGAGACTTCTGTGAAGAGTAAATGGAACACTGAGTGCAAATGACCAAGAGCCAGGCACCAGGCCTTGTTGGAGTGCTACCTGCAGGTTAGCTAGCAGCCGCCGACTTTACCGTCAACCATCTGGAACTGGACATCAGGTGGTCAGCTATGGGCAGAGGTGCTCCAACCACATACTGCTTCACAGTTTCTGGCCAGGCCCACAAGGGGGTGAACAGTTAATGCTCACAGTGGGTAAGGAGTTCACATTTTAAAAACAAGATTGTGATTTAATAAGTATTACGCTGGGTATCAAAGATCAAAAGGCTAAGGATATATTCTTGGCTTTGTCAGTAATTTACTATGTGACCTTTCTTTGAGGGTCTTTATAAATTAAGGAGGAAAAAAAAAGCTTATTTATTTTTACCTCCCCTCCACTGAGAATCCCTGGTAGTATGGCTAATACTGGGTGCTGAGATGCCTCAGAATGGCTAAAGGAAAGGTTAGTTTACCAATGAAGGACTTACATGGGAAAGCTTATTGGGGGAGTCTTTGCAACTTCCATCTTTCTGCAGCGCTCTTTCTTTATAGGAGCTCAGGACTTTGGAAGGTGGGCCATGCCATTTGGTTTCTGTCACAGAAAGAAAAGATTTGAATATCTATTTCCAGTGTTGACAATAGAGCAAAGCAAACCCAGAAGCCAAACAAAATGGTTTGTGAAAATGAACAGGACTGTGGTTCTGGAACTTTCTGGTCTCAGCAGTGGATACACTCTAAGAGTACATGGAACAACTACCATAAAGTTAACGTTCCATGTCTGTGGGCACCTCAAGTACAATTATCTATGACTGTGTCCCCTGTGACACTGGGAGACATAGTAGACCACACTGGCATGTTGTACCAAGTGGTCTGACACACGAATGAATGAATGAATGAGGGATGACAGGAAAGGGGGAGCAGGGTGGAAGGGTGTGGAGGTTTCTCCTTACCCAGGTGCCTGCTTCCTTCCAGCGTGTCCTCCCGTTCCCTGGCTCCTTCACACTCCAAAGGGCCCGTGCCCTGGTGCTCGAGCAGCAGAGGAGACTGGCACCTGCAAAGAGCACAGAGCTGAGTGGCCTGCTGGCCAGGCACCCCCTGGCACATCCCCTGTGTGTGCTGCTCTTGAGCAGGCAATCCTGGGGAAACCCCTTATTGGAAGTCAGCTCCTGGAACCGAGGACTCTTGTTTCACCACTGGCTCAACAGAGGCACCTGGATGACAGCCGTTTACAGACACAAAAGGGCTGCCAATGCTAGGAGGCTGGAGGACGGTCCAGGGTCAGAAAACCTGTCCCCAGTAAGCTAAGGAGGAGCTCACTGCTTTCGTTTTCATTTTTTTTTCTTGTGCTGAGAATATATGGCACTGAAACTTCTTTAAATCAAAATTTTTAAGGAAAGTAATAAGACTGATTGGCTCCAGACTACATATAGGTGGAGTCTGTTTCATGAAAACTCCAAATAAGACAATATAATCTTACAAAAGAAATAAAGCCCAGGAGCTCTTCATATTACAAAGCCATTTTTATTTGTAGAATTCAATGACAGATCCTGGTTTGCAGAAAAAGCCAGAAATGGCTTTTCCATTGATTAAAACAAATCTCCTCTACTTTTCAAATGCGACTCAACTGAGAAAAATTTCTTTAAGTTCTTTTTAAGAACTCCATCTATTGCCTAAAGGTAGGGAAGGCATGTAATAGGGAAGGCATGTAACTCTGATGGCAAATGTTTCGCGGATTCCAGGGAGAGACATTTCCCTCTGCCCCTGTGAGAGCAGTAGCAGAAAGCTGCTGCTCCCCCAGGGAGACCCTTCCTGTCTGACCTGGCCATTCATTCTCCTGTCTTCAGACTCCGTTAAAAGCAATAAAGATATTGCCAGGAGTACCATCCTGATCTGCTTCCCCTCCCGAGTTTCTCTGTCAATTTAGCATCACTGTGTTCCCAGCTGTCCCTGGGCTCTACTTGACCTGCTCTCGGATGTCACACACACACTATGAGGGACAGTCCTCAGCCTGATTTGTGAGGCACCCTTCCGCTGTTCTCAAACAGGAGGCAGGAAAAGATGGCCAAATGCTAAACCTGCCTTCCCTGATTTGGGACTGTGTTGTGGAGAAGACGCACTTTCAAGAGAGGCTGTGAACTGACTCCTCGACAGCAATTTAAGCGAGAATAAAAGTCCCAAAAGCTATTGCCTGTAGAGTCCCCAAATCCTTAATTTTCAGAGAAACTTTTCTTGTTAAAATGAAAAAACATTAAAATCCCACCTGGCATTTTTATATCCCCCAAATAGCCTTGTGTACAGCAGGCTCACAGTAAATGCTTCCGTGCACGATACTGAACATGTCCCACCCAGGGGCCAGCAATGGGGCAAGACCAAGTAGTACCCGTCATATGTTGTTTGAGGTCTCCAGGGTCCGCTGCCGCCAGGCCCAGGGTCACTGGAGGATGACTGGTTGCTGGGTGAACTTCTGAAATGTTGACTAGAATTATTAACAGGGCACTGAGGTATCTGCAGAGCACCAACATCGGGATCTGGCTCCTTTTGTTTTAAAAATAAACTCATTTTCAATGACAAAGAAAAGGAAGAAATACACATTGCAGTGTGAAACAGAATGAAATGTGGACAAATAAGCCAAGAACTGGTGATGCCAGAGACATCGGGTGGCTCATGGCTGGCAGTTTATTACAGGAAAGAGATGTGGCAGGAATAAGCCTTCACCATCTGAAGATATAAAGCACAGTAATGATTCTAGTGAAATATGGAAGAATGGCAAGAGAACCCCTAAGAATACAGAATTACGAAAACATTACTACTACTTGTTCTATGAAACTTAATGCAAGGCACGTTCTGGTCCTGTATTTAAAACCTACACAGAGAGAGAACCCTACATTTGTCAAAACCATTTATTTTCACACATCTATTGGATGCAATCCTATTTATTTCAGACACACAAAAATAAGTAATACTCAAGAGAAGTCATTTGATAAAGACGTGCTTGCCAAGTTTCTATTTTGCTGCTAGAACCCTCCAGGGTTCCCCCCCCCCCTAGAATTTACTAAACGTTACTTTACCAAGGGAGGCTCTGCAGACCCCTTCCCTTTCACCTGGGCTATCTATGCGTGCTCCTTTGAATATGGGGAGTTTATAAACTCAGCAGATCTCTGAGTACGGAGAGCCAGAGCTAAGATAATTTAATGTCAAACTGAACACTTTTCCTGCATTCAAACTGGAAAGAATGAACTGGAAAAAGCAGAGAAAGGCCTCATGTTGTAATCTTACTAATTATCAGTAATACTTATATAGGCTTCCCACATGCCAGGAATGGTTCTAAGCAGTTTGCAAATATTGACTGAGTCCATCTTCATAATGCCCTGAAAAGGTCTCTATCATTAGGTTTTATTTTTCAGATGAGGAAATCAGAGGTAGGAGAGGATGAGTAATAGCCGAGGTGAACATACACATCAGGTAAGCAGCCTGGCTCAGCATCCTTGCTTCCAAAGCTCTATTAGACCAGAGCCTGGCAAACTACTTTGAGGAAACTCATGGCATCTCTATGGCCCATAGACAAGTTTACCATTTTGTTCACTTAAAACTACCATAATGGGAATTATGCAACCAAAAATTCTCGCCAGCTTCTAATGCCATAGATGCACTTTTAAAAAAGTGCATTCTCTCATTCAAAAATTAATTTTGGGGGCCCCTAAGTGTTGTTTCAGTCAGTTAAGCATCTGACTCTTGGTTTAGGCTCAAGTTATGATCTCAGGGTCATGAGACTGAGCCCTGTCTGTGCCAGGTTCCCTGCTTGGCGGACACTCTGCTTGAGATTCTCTGTCTCTGCCCACCTCCCCACTCTCTCTCAAATAAATAAATACATCTTAAAAAATCAATTTTAGGGGTTCCCTGGGTGGCTCAGCGGTTTAGCGCCTGCCTTTGGCCCAGGGCATGATCCTGGAGTGCCGGGATCGAGTCCCACGTCGGGCTCCCGGCATGGAGCCTGCTTCTCCCTCTGCCTGTGTCTCTGCCTCTCTCTGCCTCTCTCTCTCTCTCTCTCTCTCTCTCTCTCTCTATGTCTATCATGAATAAATAAATAAAATCTTTAAAAAAATCAATTTTAAAATTATTTCAGTTTGCTTAAAATAAGAAAAAAAAAGGAAAGAAATGCTAATGATCTTGGACCTCTTAAAATATACACATTAGGATGATGGGATCTAGTCACTGATTTTGTAGTTTTCTTTATATTCAAAGCTGCTTGCACTTATCTAGAGGCTCATGAAGAATCCCATCTCGGATTCCTTGCCCAAGATGGTTTAGGGAGGCAGGTCACCAGGAGAGGGAAAGCTGAGGCCCTGGTGGGTGAGTCTGGGTAGGACCTGCAGGTTATTGGCACCACCACTGGGCAGGGGTGGATAGATCCCTGTAGCCCTGCTTGCCAACTTGTTCAGAATAAGCTAACTCAGAAACAATCCAAATAGAAAAGTCCGCCCCCCACCCCCACCCCACACACAACAAGTTCTAATCCGAGTCCTCGAGGAAAGACGCCAGCCTTACCTCGTGCCATCGGGCAGCTTCCGGTCGAAGGAGGTGCTTCGAGGGATGGCAGCCTGGGCCTGCTGGAGCAGCTGCTGGCACTGCAGTCGGTCGGGCGTGCCGGGCACAGGGGAGGCCCGGGACAGGGGCTGCAGGGCCGGGGTGGGCACGCGGTGCCATGTGGTATTCCTCCGGAAGGGGGTTTTGTACTCGCACGGGGTGCCTTCACTGTCCAGTTTGTACTCCACCATGGGGATGCGACAGAGCTCTGAACACCCTCTGTTGGGCGGAGAAGAGCAGGTAAGTAGGGAGGCTCCATGCCAAGCCATCTGCGAGGCTGCTAGTGGCTTCCAGATGATGGAGCAGAGCCACCTGCCCTCAGGAACATCCCTGGGGTATGGGGGCTCTGTCTTATGGGAGGGCATATGGAGGCCCTGTCTATGATCCAGTATGAACCAGTAGCATCCAGCATCACGCTTGTGGCTCTGGTTATCTGACCGATATTGCCTTAGGCATTATGTGCATATATCCTGTCTTTCTAGGTGGTTTGCTTACTTACTTCTTAGACCCGAAAACATCTTTAACCATTTGCATATGTGAATTCTTGCACACTGAAACATGGGCAATAAACAAACTTTAACAGATTAAAAATGCCTCATATACAATCTGAACAGATTCAAAAGAAGTACAGTACATTACGTAGGAATTAGTCACATGTCAGCTTTTCTAGTGAGTCTGAGAAAAGTGAAGAACAAAACTAATAAGCTGTCACAGTCAAGAGGAAACATGAGTGCCCATCCTGTCAAAGCAGGATTCTTAGTTACCATAGTCACTCTCTTAAACTAGCATTATCACAGTCCCCCAGATGCTACCCGCTGGGGTGCCCTCTCACATACTCAAGTGACCAGTCAGGAACGTAAGACCTGTTAGCCTCAAACTGTGGTTTATGCCAGACATTTCTCAAGTTTCTCATTAATTACATAGCACAAATAATACTATCAATTTGACCAGAGTTAGTCTGTGAAACTAACCTGTGCAGTATGGCAAGGACGCAGGAGACAAGGTTAAGTTTTAAATCTGAGCACCAGGGCAAATCATCTCAGTTTACCGTGTTGGTAAAGCCAGTGCCCTTCCCGGACGTTCCAGAGTCAATATAGAAACTTGCTAATATTCAACATCCCAGCCATCTCATCCTCTCCGAGACATCTACTAGAGGAAGGTTCTTTAAAAAGGAGACTTCAATTCTCAAGATGGTAGAGGAACACTTCAGCCTCTTTTCAAAATCATTATATAAGAACGAAGAGAACAAGAAACAAACTTGACCATCTACCAAATTTGAGACAACTGAAACTCTAAACCACAGCAATCACAGATGGAAGGCAAATGGAATAGTGCTGATAGTTCAGCAGAGCACAGGAAGGCAAAACCCAAGGGTGTGCAGAGGGAGACAAGGAGAAATGAGACCATTCCTTTGGCATGACCCTGAGCATGCCCAGGGACAGGAAGTTCCAGGCCTCAGTGCAGGAGATAAAAGTGAAAGAGAAGGCTTCAGAGGAAGGGGTGGTTTAGAAAAGAGAGAACCAAGAGAATTTTGAGCCTGGGCACCATTAGCACCACACAGCACCGGGTCCAGTCACATGCTAACCACTCCTGCCTCTAAAGGGCAAGAACAATGGTCCAGGGAACTCCACCTGAAGGATCCAAACTCCAGTCACAGAGGACAGCATGGCCAAAAACAAAAGGTTAAGCAGAAGTCTCACTGGAAAATGAGACCTAGAGTCATTTCTCCTTCCTTCAAACCTAGCTTCAGAATGCTGATCACCCCACAAAGACAAACAGAATCTTCCTCTAGAGAAAAGACAATGAAATGGAATGAGATGTAAGCCATCCAATCACTCTGCAGGGAGGATCACCAACCATTTCCTTACAGAAAAAGGAACTTCTGAAATTGAAAAACATGATAGCTAAAATTCAAACTAAAAAAGTCCACAAAGACTAAGCTAAATTGACGAACTCTACTGTTACAGGAGAACAAGCATATGGAAATTAAAGCTCAATCTAAGAAGTCTAAAGTCTACCTAACAGAAGTACCAGAAAGAAGAGAAAGGGAAAAACATGGGGACGAGATTAAGAAATAATACAGGAAAATCTCCAGAACTAAAAGATTCATAAAAACCAGAGTAAAGGGCAGCCTGGGTGGCTCAGTGGTTTGGCGCTGCCCTTGGCCCAGGGTGTGATCCTGGAGACCTGGGATCGGGTCCTGTGTCGGGCTCCTTGTGTGGAGCCTGCTTCTCCCTTTGCCTGTGTCTCTGACTCTCTCATGAGTAAATTAAAAAAAAAGTAAAAAGTCCACAGACTGCCCAATGCAACGAATGAAGAAAGGTCTACGTCAAGAGACACATACGTACATACGTAGCATGGGAAGAAACGTTTGGAGGTGATGGGTACATTTATGGTGATTAGGGTGATGGTTTCATGGGCATTGGCATGGTTTCATGGGAGAAAAGTATCTCCAGACTCACTAAGCTTTGTGCATTAGATGAGTATACCTTTGTTATGTCACTCATACTTCAATAAGGTTTTTTTCAGACATCATGTGGAACTCGAACTCTTGGGTTACAGAAGAGATCCTGAGCTTCTCGCAGGACAGGAAGGTGGGGCTGGCCTCACAAAAAGGGCCAAAGCACAGAACAGCTTCATTTTTCTCAACAACAATCCTGGATGAAAGTTGCTTCCTACCCGTCAACCCAACAGTACTTGGGATCTTCGGATGAAGAGACAGGTAGGACTAGAACAACAGCCTGCTTTCTGGCTTGGGAAACCAAACAGATAGTTGGTGCTACCCTCTGAGAACAGAAGTAGACTGAATAACCCATCCAAAAAAATACTCACGCCTGTTTTGGTAAACTTTTACTTCATCTTTTAACTCTCCTTTCCCCAAAGCAAAATTAATCTCTTACCTAGGTGAGTTTAAATTACCCTGAATTTCAGAAATGGGTTAGCTAAATGATTGGTCAAATCTGATAAGCCCAAATTTATACTGGATCACATGGTTATTATTATTATTATTACGATTATTATTTTATAAAATGTCAAAGTTCTCCAACTTTCACTCATGGACTTGTATTGTTTCCAAGTGTTTTTCTCATTAACTAGATGACACATCTCCTGGGACTACTGATTCATCCATGACCAACAACCTAATTCAAAATCATGAAGGTGGGACAGGAGAGTAATATCAGAATATGGATAAAACCTACTCTTGTCTTCTACCCAACCTGGTGCTCTAAGGAAGTCACTGGATATTCAAATGAACCCCCAGGCTTTGGTCTCAAAGCTTGCAGTTGCCCGAAGAGTACAGGTTAGGGAATCCTCAAAGGAAGGAGACCTACCCAGGTTACAGGTCCTGGGGTTGTCTTTGAATGGAAGGAACATGAAACCTTGAATCTTGTGGACCAAAGGGCAAAGGGTATTTCCAGTGCCTATCTGGGCTCCAACTTTACTGGGCTAGGCTTAAAAGGAAGAAAAAGCAAAGACAAGACAGATGATGGAGGTGTGTGGAATATTTAATTCATGCTCATAGATTGTAGCCTTTAATAAGATTGTAATTTAGCTTAAATCTGTAAGGAAAAACATAATATAAATGCATAATCATGAGTAATATTTTAGAGAGTGATGACAAAAACGTGTGTGAATGCATGAGGTCGAGGGGAGACTCGGTGGAATTATTTTATTTTCAACCTCTTGCACAAAGTCATATGTAAATGATCTACTTAATAGTAAAAACTAGCATTCTCTGGCTCTAATAAAGATCAGCTTTTTCCAAAAGAATGGCTCTATGTGAAAATCAAAATTAATTTTGTTAGTATGTGACACTTCTATGGCAACTACTCTTATAAACTAGGTTTCTGCTTTGTTTACTTCTAGGACTCAATCATCGAATAAAAACCGCTAATTTTAACATTCCAGCAAACCTAGTCAAATATAGTTCTGCTCTAAGAAATGTCTGGAAGGACACGTCTAGAAAACTCAACCAATTTTTAGGCAACTAAGGAGTGGTCTAAAATAAGGATTGCCAATTAACCTACTGCAGAGGTCCTCCTGCTGCAGCGAGTCTGAGAAACTCATCCCCACCTGCACCTGTCTCTGCACACACTCCTCTTTGTCTCCATGGATAGCTACAGTGCAAGGACATCAGGTGAGAAATCTCTGCTTCTCGGGAGAGAGCATCAAGCCTGGTGCTGCCCTGAAGGAGCACACGGTAAAGATTTCTGACCACTAGGTAAAGACCCACAGAAACTCAAAGTGACCAAATGCCAAAACACCTAGCACAAAAAGACATTCCCCCAAAGAGTGAGCTACTAATGTTGTGTATAACTGAAAATTTTTAAGAAAGCCTTCAGCTTCCTTGCATTAGTATACAAATTCAGACTTCACAGAAAAATGCTCTCAGCTTCCTTTTGACATACATCAAATCAAGTCCACAGACATGAACTGTGTGTCTCTAGCTTCTAGCACACTTTTCACAGTTTGCTTGCCCAAAGAAGACATTCAAAGACGTTAGAGAAGGCTGTGGGGACACTTCCATGTAAGCATATGGATTTCCTCTTTGCTCAATACCAAATGAATCTGTCACCTACTTATGCTTCTAATTAACATGCCAGGTAGAGATCAATATACACTCTGGTTCAGGGTTAAAAATACATATAATTCTTAACATGGCTTGTCTGGCCAATAATTTCTCCGGGTCTACTACTACTCTGTAGTATTAGAAGGAAGGCAAAACATTCTGTAGACCAAAGTGGTCATAAAAATGTGCTCACTGAATGTGCAATATTACAGAAAACTATAAAACTGACAAGCAGGTCCATTTGTTGGCGCTCTCAGAGCATCTTACATTTTACTGCTTTACTCTGCAAAACACTACTACTTGTCCCTCTGAACTTAGCCTGGTAGACTTTCTGGGATGGCTATTCCTGGACAAGGGACACTCGTTAACTTCGCTGTACCCTCACTGATCAGCGTTCTCCCTGCTTCAAGCTGCCTGAAGAGATTTCCTACGAGCAGGGTTCTAGAGCAACACAGAGATGGTTCCTGCTCCGGGTCATCGTTACAGGCACCCGCCTACACTGCCAAGCACTGTACTTATGCATCATCCCTAACTAGAGAGACACTCTGCAAGGTCCCCAAGTGGGCATTTGCTCTCCCAAGACCAACTTCTTTAAAATGACACCACTGGTTTCCTGGAAAAACGCCCCGTTAGCCATCAATCATTTGAG